GCTGGTTCCATCCAAATTTGGGCCTGTGCCACAGGGCTCACCAATGTCTTATCAGTGCCACCTGAAAAGTCCTCTGGTAACATCATTCTGCACCACACGGCTCCAGACTTCCCTTCTCTTCCTTTGATGCTGCATAGTCTTCCAAATATGTGCTTTGTGCCCACACTTGGTCAACTTATGCATCTTCATTCTCTGCAAGTGTCACTGGAAATGTCTTATGAAATAGAAGCCAGAACAAGAGAGCAGTCCAGATGTCCTGCATGGGTACATCTTTGACAGCCAAGACTTACTGCTAGCCGTTTCCGTGATGCTTGCAGAGGAAGTGCAGAGGAGGAGTCTGCTGCCACAGCACTGGCATCTCAGATGATTAGGGGCTCCACTAGACAAACTGCCGCCATGAAGCGTGGCCTGCAGGCGGAGGTGCTGACAAACTATGCTGAGATGTTGAGGGTCAACGTGCTTCCTGTGGAATCCATTGTTCACCCTGACACATGTGAAGAGGTTTTATTTGTATTAAATGGTGTTCCTTTAGGTGTCATATAAATGTAATGTTTTTTGAATCACAGTCAAGGTGTTTTTCTGTGCAGCTGGAAAATGTGTACAAACTAATGAACCAAGATGTGTCTACTGAAGTAATGTTCCCAGGGTTGCTGAACTTCCCCAGACAGTTATTTGGGAACTTGCTGTTTTTCCCGTGGCCTTCCCTGTATGGAGATGGTTCCTTATGTTTTCCTTTGTCTATTTTGTTTGGTCTTAGAAGATCGAGTCTCCGCCTCGGTAGTAAAGAGAGATGAATAAAGTAACTATGCGACTCTGGGTTCCTCAGAGCGGATCCTAATTTGTGCCTAATGCAGTGGATTTCTTGCTCTCCGTCTGCAGATGTATTAAAGATTGTTTTTGCTCCCTGACTTTTGTCTGGACCTCAGTCTCTGAACTGTGCACTTCACAATTTGGTGCATTGGCCGGGAACCTTCGCTGGTTCGTCCAAGTCGGTGGACCTCAGGAGAGGGCTGATCACCAAACCTTCAAACTGGTGTTCCTCCAAACCTCTGGCAGGTCTGTCTGAGAAAAAGAGGACTCTTCTGGTGCTCCACCGGGTTGGATCAGCCACGACAGGATAAAAACAGCTGAGAGGGGCTGCAAAACATCTTAAGGTTTGTAGGTCTGTCAATTTAGACCGAGTTCCCCTAGGTCTATTAATTTAGACTGAGTTTGTAGGTCTACCAAATTAGACTGAGGATTGAAGTCAACGTTTCAAATAAACGTTTTAAATTGTAGGAGGTTTGCAGAATTACAATTAGAGAATGGGGAATCATGGGTTCAGTATTTGTCACAATGGCATAAATTTGGATTTTCTAATCATGGGTTATTTGAACCCGAGTTTTTTATAGTAATTTACTGCTACAGTAACAACAGCTGCTGAGAAAAAAAAACATCTCACTCGACCATTTACAAATAATGCAAGCACACACAGATGCACTCAGAGTCTGGAAATAGGAATGAAAAAAACAAAAAAAACCCCACAACATTTCAGATGGTTCAGAAAGCTGACGAAAGAAAAAGAAACATGAGAAATCAGCTGAACAAGATGAGAAAAATAATAAAACTAATGATTGTTTTTCTCTTCCCAACATGTCAACCTGCTGCGATGAGCTTGCATCCAGCGGCACCAACGGGTTCACCTGCCATCGCTAAACTCTATCCAGCTCTTCCTCCTTACCAACCATCAGCCTCACTGAGGAAAGACCTTTTTTTTTTTTTGGACATTGATGACCATTATCCCTACGGCCCGAAGACTGAAGAGGAAGACATTATGCCGCCCCTGGAAGGGCGAGGAGGACAAGGATGTTTTTACCCCGGATTCTGATAACAACAAGATATTCTACAAAACCTGCTTCATCTGATCTTCATTGTGCCATGTATGAACCGTGAGGTTGAAGAGGCCCAACTGAACAATCCTGCCAACTCACCATGCTTCATCAGGCTGCCCTGAACATCCACAGCCACAGCAAGGACAGTATGGACAGCCACAAAGCAACACACTGCCTGATGTTTGTTTTATCTGTGGACAACAAGGACGTTGGGCCAGAGACTGCTTCTAGAGACAATTCAGAAACAACCAGGAGGCCGAAGGTTGCACAGAGGCCGAGGAGGAAGATTTGATGGCAACCAAAGAGACTTCTCAGATGGGTCAAGTTTTTCCTTTAAGAGGTGGATTTACAGGACATCGTGGAGGGTATTCTGGCTGACTAGACCCGGTGCCGTTGGAGCAACCTCTGGTTCAGCAAATCGCAAATACCAACACACACAACACATATGTAAAATATACAACTGAAATACAAGAAGTCCTCCCAATGCTCACTATTTCTGTCTATTGAATGTTCAGACACGGGGCTCCGTGTCCACAAAAACAAAAACAAACTCCAATTGACTTAATTTGTTCAAAATGCCAAGTCTGCTCTACATTTTTGAATGGTTGATTACAGACCGACAATCTGAGGCCATTTTGCAAATGGACTTCCACTGTGATGTCAGTAAAATACCTCCATAGATCCAGCTGATGAGCTGGGTGACTCCTTCCTTCTGACACGCCCATCTTTGCTGCATGCAATTCACATATGCTGGTCCGCTGAGACCTGCGTTTTGCTGATTGTCACCTGAGCAACTGAGTTTCTTCACACTGACTGATTTTTTTTTTGTCATGTCTCTTTGGCAAAACATCCAGGAGACGGGAGCAAATCTTTTGGTCCTCTATCAAAAGCAACACATGAAACAACTGATTGTATATGTCACTCAGGAAGTATTTATTTTTCACCATCAACATGATTTGTTATCTCTTTCATCTGACCCTATTTTGAGCTCCCTGCCTGCCAATTTATGGGCTTCTTACAAATATGATGTGGGCTTAATAAAAATAAAAAAAAAATTACATAATGCCTAATCAAATTGTCACTATCCCAATCAAAAACAATACCGTTTGAAACCAGAAGCAGTGCTTGGAATAACTCCAGGAGTCATTGTACCTAGTCCAAATTCACCTGTGAAGAAACTCAGTGCTCCTGATCAACCTGTTGAGTGGCAGTTTGTTCAAGATCTTAGAGAAGTTAACAAGTCTGTCATTGCCAGAGCAGCTATTGTTCCAAATCCATACACTATTTTGTCACAAATTCCAACAGGCAGCATGTCTTTCACAGTCATTGATTTAGCAAATGTTTTTTCAGTGTTCTAATTCACCCAGAAAGCCAGTTCTGATTCACTTTTCAATTTAACGATAAACTCTACACATTTACAAGACTTTGTCAGGACTACTATGAGAGTCCAACCATTTTTCACCAAGCATTAAATGACAATCTTTCACATTTGCACCTTGCACCACAAACAGCTCTTTCGTAGTATGTTGATGATTTATTATTGGCAGCTTCCAATCATGATCTGTGTGTTTCTAAAAGCATAAAATTACTCGATTTTTTTCTCCCTTAAAATTTTGGTGATTTTGGTTACATTTAGATTAAACAGAGGAAAAATATATAACATACAGCTGTGATAAATTTGAACTTATACAGATTAAAATACCTTTAGTTGTCCAGGGACTATTATTTATAACAAAACTGTTTTTTAAATTAATGAAGCGCTTCAGCAGAAACATGATAAATTAGGTACTGTAATTCTAAATTGTATTGAGATCTTTTCTGTAGGTGTAGATACAGCTAAACTTTAAAACAGGATCCTGTACATTAGAGTTGAATTTAAACATTGATATATGTAGTTAAAAGTAATTTTCTCTATTTGAAGCTTCATGTAAATTTGGCCATTTCAATTTAAGAAAATATGTATATAAAATGAGGACTGACTGTAAATATTTGACTGTAATGCAAATTTGACACATTTTTTATTGTTAATGAAAAAAGTTGTATCCTTCACAACATTCTTACATTTCAGCAGTGTAAAACTAACATTTACATTCTGTGATGATTAAATCCAAATGAATTGGAAGCTAGCTTACCATTTTTTTTGCTAGGGAGAAGTAAGTTTAGGCTTCCCTGTTTAAGCTGTTGCCCCTGTGACCCAACTCCAGATGGACAATGAAATAAATGAATAAATTAATAGATTTGGAAATGAATGTGGAATTAAGTAATTATGATTCCACATTGTTTACTTCCAATTTTGTTCACTATTTATCTATTTATATTCACTTGTGTTTTCCCACTTCTTTAGATTCTCATTTCCTCTTTAATTAATTTACTTATTATTTGTCAATTTTGATTGGATCATTTCTTCATATTTCACGACTAACGTGGAGGAAACACCTGGATCAAACAGGAAGTCATGTACTTGCTTATTGGTACATGTATTTTATTTTTATTTATTATTTTTGCTAACACTGGATTTTTTTACCTTCACCGTTGCCAATATAAGCTCAAAGTTCGGCTACTGCAAGAAAGACAGAGATCACCGCTTTGTGCTCAAGTTCTGGTCTGTTCTGCTCTCTAATTGGTTCGCTTACCTGGCACCTGAAAGCTGTTTTGAAAAAGTTTGTCCAACGGTTCTCATCTCAGAAGACGCTGAATTGTGCTCAAAACTTGACAAAGAAAAGAACGCTGTTTGGACCTCTTCAGCTTTCAGCAAATGTAAGTTAAGCTTTATTTTCTTCAAACGTAAAAGGCACGGTAAATTGTGTTTCTGGTGAGATTAAATATTGTTTTTAAGGCGTCATATTGCTTCTTGGAACAATATGCAGTAGAATCATTTTTTTGCTACACCTGCAACGCGTGTAACTTGTTGGGTATACCTGCAACTCCATAATCATAGTAAGTTGTTTTACTGTCCTCCAGCGTACGTCACATTTAGAATCTCTGGGAGACGTCCAGGGTCCGATTCCCAGCCAAAGTCTTTCTGCATGGAGTTTGCAAATTCTCTATACATACTGTTCCTGTGTTCCTCAATGCAAGCACTGCTATTTGTCACAGACAAACGAAGAAAAACAAAAACAACAAACCCGATAGCAAAAAAAATCACATGGATTTAATTTACTTAACAGTGTACAAAACATGACTTAAGTTGGTGTTGCTTACAATTTCACTGACAGATTAATGTTCAAAGGACTTCATGAACATAAACAAGACAAATGGTTACAATAAGTTGAAACTCTTCACCAAAAATATATCACTGAGGCAAAAGAGTGCGTGTTTCAAACGGACAAAGTGACCTGTCAGTTCAACCTAAACGATTTTTTAAAATGAATTAAAACACACTAATACCTACAGACACCAAAGATCGAAATGAAACCTAAAAACAATTTTGTGTTACTTCCTGTTAGACGTATATTTGGACATATTTGGAAAGGTTAATACATTCTGGGGAAAACTTACAGCATGTGTGTTTTTTCATATTTATGTACAGCAGAAAGGCACAGCTCATCAAAAGTGAAAGGTAAATAGAAAGACGTGTTTTAAGGTGAAATCCTGATAAAAATTCAGCAAATCATTCTGGCCCCTCGCCCCCTACTTTAAAAATCTTTGCTAAATATAAGTTATTTTTCACATATGTACATGATACTCTCATTTTTATGCACAGATCTTGATTCTTTATTATGCATACATATTTGCCTGCTCATACTTCTTTAGCCTCAGAATATAGCCAGAATCTAAGTCTGTGTTCACATACAGGAAAAGCGCATGCTTCCTCCAACATGTAGAATAAGCATTTATTTCTGCAAAGTTCAACTGAGTTTTGTTTGCTTTTTTCCCCCTTTTGCGTTTCTAACTCCTCTTAAAAACAATAATCCCAAATTTACTTCAAGCTGCTTCTGGTCTCGAGATTTGACAGATACCAATGACCGTATTGGAAGCACTTTGCTGCCCTCTTGTGGATGGAGTGTGAATGATCTTTGGTTGAGATTTTATACTGTAAGCTGTATTTGAAATCATTTATTAGATCAGCATGAATTGCACGAAACCTTTGTAGCACTTCAATTTAAAAGGCCTGTTTAGCCATAGCAGCATCAATAAGTAAATTACATATTTGAGACAGGAAAAGTCTGCTAAAGAACCCATCTACACCTAATATCACTAATTTGCATATTAACCTTTATGATGTATTAATATTGATGACTTGTTCTGAACCCAAATAGAGATTCCCTACTTAAGTTAGTTTTCGTTTTTAGTTCGTATAAAATGTCCACACGCTTTGCAGTCTGCAGATAAACATGTAGAATCTGCTTCCAAAGAAGTCCACTTGAGGTGATTTGTGTGCAAACGTGTCTTGTCCTTTTAGAGTCGATTTTGTTTAAAAAAAAAAAAGAAAGAGGAACTTTTTCTGGCATCAGGAAACGAGCGCAGCGCGGGAGAGGCAGAGGAGAAGGAGAGGGCCTGAGAGACATATAAAAGATGCGCCGCCACAGTCGTTAGCATTCTCCTGGAAGAGCAAAACAGACAAAATGTTCCGTGTCAGTCATTGTGTTCCTTCACATTAAAATGACCCAACAGACATAAAAAGAATATGTCAGTTCATGTCGGTGTATTCAGTTTAGGTTTGAGGTCTTTTCATGTTCACTGAGGGATCTTATTTAAAGGAGCTCTACAATTTTAAAGACATGGCAGCAATCAGGGTAAATTATTTTGTTTTTAGATAATCAAAGATAATGAATGATTTAACCAGGAGACAACTGGCCAATTAGATTCTCACACAGGTCCATCCAGGCTTTTGAGAATGGCACTTGACAATTGCATTTTGTATAATTTAAGTTTTATAAAAATGCAAAAACAGAATACACTTTATACATTTCTGCATTCAATAAAGTGAAAAATATGTTGAATAATAAGTTACTCTACATGTGACATTGTGCAGCAGTACTTTCCCCACAGAGAGGAATCTGACCTGTGGGTGATAGGAGTGGCAGGACTCGGGACGTCTCCGGATTTTCTGGGTCCTCATCCTGTCGCACTTCACCGACGCGTTATGTGCAATGTGGCTAAAGAAAATATGATACAATGACAACAAACGCTTCAAACTTCAGGTATATATGAGACATTATTATACTGATAGATTCTTCTGGGGAAGGGTTGAAATAAGGAGCAAACTTATTACAATTTACACTTTTGGTAGTTTGGGGCTGACCAGCTTTCAGGCAAGAATGCTGTATTTTTTAAATTTTATTTTATGACATAAAATCACAGTCAAAGGATATATTTGACTTCTTTGGGCTCCAAGGTGATGGGCGGGTACTGTCTGGAGCAGTCGCAGTCTCCTTGTACCACCAACATCAACAGGTTGCTTTCAGGTATTTGTTGAACTACAAACATTCTGAGGCAAACAAAAAGTGCAAAGTAGAAAATAAACAAAATGTCAAGCAAACTCCATAGAGCATGTTTATGTGCCTGAATAAACTTAACATATAGAACTTTGAACTTTCTCATATTTTTTCACATCCCAAGAACAAATCTAAATATATTGATGTGCAAAGCTGGTAGGGACATTCCCCAAAGGATTTGATGACTTAAATGTAGGGAAATATGGTTCTATCAAGAGCTGGCTCTGCAGGGAGACATACAAATCAATGTCACATTTTCCTTATTTATTTTTTTCTTGTCTGTATGCTTGGTTGCCTTAACAGGAAGTAGGTTATAATTCCTCTAAATTTATAGTAATTTATGCAACATGGGGAGTTTTCCATTATCACTCTCTGAAAGGAAACCAGATATCACTGTGTGATACCACTGTTGTCCACATGAGGGCACTCCCACTCAGTTTGTCTTGCAAACCATTTTTCTCTTTTCCAACCAGTTCACCTCCCACCGTTTTGAATCATTGTCTCCATTTCTCCATCTTGTCATTCAACCCTGTTGTTTCTATTTTAATACTCTCATTCACCTTTACTTTCTTCCATTTCTCACATGCCTCTCACTCTTTACCAGCCCAAACCTCATCTAATTTTGATCCCCTCTACTTCTTTTCCCTCCTCTGACACTCTTGTATAAATAGATGCCGATCTGAGTGAGCAGAGCGGAGGAAAGCTGTGGAAAAAGGATTTTAGAAAGACACTTTAATATGACCGGTCCAGGGCTTACAGAGGACTGCGCTGCCATGTGTGTGTGCACATGCACACACACATGGGCATGCACACGCCCGTGTGTGTGTGTGCGCGTGTGCACGGCCATACGCGGCTGTGTGCTTACTTCTGGCACCGTCCGCACTTAATAATGCTGTTGGTCTCCTTGACTGACGGCTCGTAAATGAAGCTTGGGTACTCGGTGTCACATGGCTGCAAGATGTTCCATTTTTTCTTGGGAACATAAGCTAATGGAGAGAGAGCACAAAAGGGGGTCATTTCTTGATGAGTTGGAAGTGCATGCGTGATCGACGGGCTGAAAGCTCAAACTTTTAGGTTATTGCTGCCGCTCAGATGGAAGCACGCTTCGAACAAACTGAATGTACAAGATGAGATGATTTGAAACCAACAAAGATGAGATGATTTGAAACCAACAAAGAAGAGCTATGATGGCTGATTAAATTGTACACGTCTGTTTGGGATTTTCCTTAGCTGCTCAGAAATTCCATTAGCTGAGATAAAAGTCTACGCTCGGGTCTTGTTTTGAAGGATTTGGCAGCTGCATCTGCTCCCACTTGAAAGCCTTATGTAATCTGACACACTAAATTTAATTCTACTTGGAACGTCTCACAAACAGCACATCACACATGAAACACAAAGGCCTGCAGAGCAACCCGGCTTCCTCTGAAACACCTGAGAGCAGGTACTCACTGCGGCTGAAGGATGGTTTAGCTGGATGGATGGGTGATGGATGGATGATGGTAAAGATGAGAGGGTCGGTGACGGAGTGAAGTGCAGTTATAAGGAGGGCGAATGTTTGATACATGAAAACATGTGAAAAGAAATTAAAGCTGTCATTAAATGAGAATCAATTGAAGACACGTTAAAACCAGATATGTTGATGCGCTCTTGCAGCCGGTCAGTTGGGTTTACCGAAATGATTTCTACTTGCTAAATGTCGGGATGACGAGGAAAATGCTTTAGACCATTTCTTTTTCAACTTCCATCTAGCTAATAGTTACTCATGTTCCATTGGGAGCTTAAGTGGCAGCTGTGTGCTTGGGATTACTCATGTTGTTTTCTTCTGAATGCAGGGAAGACAGAAGCACTCTTAAAAACCTTCCAGTAATACAGTCCAAACTGAAGCTACATTTCTCTCTTGAGTTTATAATAGCCCGTTTATCACCTATTGTTATAATTGTAAAGCGGCATTGCTAACACAAGCACACTAACACATTAAGCAGCTTTTAAACGTCAAGATGATCATATGGCTTAGTCAGCTTCTGATAGGTTAATTTACAACATTTGAGTGAAATGGAGTCAAACCTGAGCATCTCAAACACATAACTACCCAAATATCAGGAAGAACATTGTGAGCCTCCTTAAGTCTGGTTCATCTTGTTCAATTTTCTGAAGTAAAACGCATTTAAACTCTACATCTTGTTTCATTTCTGTCCATTTTACTGTCATTGAGAAAAAAATACAACACTTTTTTTTACAGTATTTCTCTAAAACGCTCTATTTCACCTTACAATTATGATGAAGATGAAGTGAGTAATTTTGAGTGGAATGCAAATAGTAGCAAAATGACATACAAAACAGCTAACATGGGAGATGTGGTTCTATTCGGGGTCTGTCCTTAAGACATACAGAAAGAAAATATGGCAAGAATAAATGGAAACTGAACCAATTTTCAGGTCAGCATGAGCTCACCGTCAGCAAAATGCTCTGAGTGCCAGAAGCTACAGAAATTGAACTCCAGTAGGAACCTTAAAGAGGAGAAAGACGGATCAGATGGAGAACGTAGAAACTGGGTAATGTTTTAACATGGAAATGATAAATATGACATTGTGGTACATTACTGGTACATGCTTTAAAAGGTGAGTTATTCAAATTAAAATAAAAGACTTTTTGAAAAGAATTATGTTGTGGTTTAAGGGAAACCTATAAGTCACAAAAAATGCAACAATATTTTTAGGCTTGAAAAAGTTAATCTGCTTTCTGTGTTGCTAACCAATAAACAAACTTTGCAGTGCATTGATGGTCGAGAGCAGCCAATACTGTTGCTTCTAGCAACACTTACAGTAGGATGTTAGAGAGGAACCATTTGAAGGTTGAAGCCAAAGCATAGAATGACTGCAGAGAGAGGAAACAATAAAGTTTAGTGTACAATTCGTGTTTGAAACGTATTAATGAAGCCTGAAGTCACTGAACTTACACTGAGAAGTGGGCGAGCGCTGCTGACAGAGTGAGGGTTGGTCTTACACATGGCCTGATAGTCAAACAATGAGACCCTGGAGGAACATAAGCATAAGATGCAAACACAGTGTTGATCTCTCAGCATCTTTTTGAGTCTTTTATTGATTCCCTGACCATCTCCAGGCACCAAGAAGCACTACAAACTGCAAGGAAAACCAACAAAAAAAGTCAGATGAGGAGAAAAAAAAAAAACAACCCAGTGGATTGCTTTCATTTTTTTCTTGCAAGGACCAAAAATGTCACGATTGATATCTGATCTCTGTAGCAGATTCTTAATAATCCATAATTAAGGAAATATGAGTATTTTCTATTTTTTCATTTCGTTGATTTGTAAAGTAGACTTTACAATGAGGCGTTAATAGTGAAGAAAAAGGTCCGGATTATGGAAGCGTACCAATACTGTAAAATCTTCTAGGTAAGATGTATACACATTCATATAGGCAAAACCCAATTAAATGGAATTACACAATTTCTGCACATGCGTTTCATTGTTCAATAATTACACTTGGTGTAATTATATAGGTGTCTAAATGAGACCTGTGGCTGTTTTACAGGGAACTCCACTTTTAGTTAATTTAAGTTAAAGGGGGAAATGTATTTCTCTTTTTATATTAAGCATAAAAATTTCAACTGTTTGCCATATCATTGCCCTGACAGGATGCAATCTGGGGATAAATATGTTTTAACAGCACCGTGTTGCCAGATGCATTTTCCACATTTTAGCATAAAATTATAAATGAAAACAAACAGGGCATAATCAGAAGCACATTCTTCCATGGACGTCTGATTGTGCCACAGCATGTGGCACAATGTTCTGCTGTCGTAGCACATTAGGACAAACGTTTTGTGACAACTTTTCACCACACATACGCACATTAAATCCCCTGCAACACGACTGTCACACCAACCAGGCAGTCAGCAGAACGGTTCCAGTCCGTACCTCTTAAACATGCCCATTTGGATCAACGTGGTCATCACCGATCCGTCCGTTTCACCAAAGAACCTTCCCGCCTGTCAGGAGAGACGGACAGAAGAAAAGCAAACTATTGCTGTTAAATAAATTCCTGTAATCATAATAATCTGACAGTAGGATTGTAAATGTTCACTGTGAACGATATAGTTTATGCGTAGGGTTTTTTAATAAAGCCTTAAAAATACTGCCAGCTGGCTTTTTACCGAGCAATTTAAAATCCTAATGTCTTTAGGTCTTATTAATTTGCCATAATTACATCAATTACTGTACATATTTTAAATTAAGACTGAACACTGTGTTAATTGAGGAATATAAAAATGAAATGGATATTGTTCTCATCTTCAGAACTGATTACTATGATTTAGAAGTCAACACATCAGATGTAATACAGTCCAAAAATCCAACATTTTCAGAGCTCCCTTTCTCTTTTATGTTCTACAGCAATTTGAAACTATAATTTTTTTTCTCTCTATTTTTTGTTTTACTCCACTGTATCTTTTTAGCACTTACAGCAACTACTTGAGTTGGAGAAGCAACTGAAATACAACAGGCGTGAAATTACGCAAAAGGTTATATCACCGCAAGAGGTCCTTGAAATCAGTCGTTTTTTAAATAACCTTCAGTTTTTTTGAACCTCAGACGCTGAGAATGTTCATGAAAAAACTTACATATTTTCTCTTGTGGCAACAGACGTCAGTGTTTATTAATGTGGTTTGTTGTGACAAACCAAAACGATGTTTAAAAAAAAAAAGCTGTAATACAAAAGGACCACTTTCCCTGAGGGAGAGAAGCATTCCCACAGTATCATGCTGACACTACAACCATGTGACAGTGGTTGGGTAAGGATGATAAGATTATTACTTTGCTGCCTAAGAGGACTTTTACTAATTTAATGACTGGTATCTGTTATTTACCAGATGTGAACACATGCTGCTTTTCAAATTTTGATATGATAGTAATTTTGGAAATCATGTTTTATTTTTGTTCTAACACCGTGTTGCTGTGTCACATAAAATCCCATTGAAATACATTGAAATTTGAGGTTGTAACACGACAAATGAACACTTTCAGAAGGGCTTCCAACAGCAGCATGAAAAAGGAAAACTACCGACCACACTGACTTTTCCATAAAAAAAAAAAAAAAGATGCAGGCAGTTTTTTGACACAATTCTGCAAATTGTCTTCTCTTCTCAGCGTGGTGATAACTAACGGATTCAAAAGCCCTCAAACTCTCAGAGCACGACTCTAAAAGCCCGTTAATGTGTCAACTTACATCACTGCGCCGTTTAGAAATGAGGACAAAGCCATTATTGTCAATCACGTAGCACTCGATGTCCTGATACAAGAAACAAGAGACAGAAAAACTAATTACTTTTCACAAAGACAACGCAAATGTTTTTACATCTTTTAAATCTTTCACAAAAAGACTAAGAACTTTTGTCCTTTAGCGGCTCCATACAGCAGATATGCAGACTAATTAAGAGTTTTCTGACCTGAATGATATTCATATAATCTGCCTAAGTCATATAACGAGTAGAAAGGGAGGAATATATACTCACAAAGCTGTCGCAACGAAGAGGACAGACCCCCTCTATGGAGGAGCACTAAAGAAAACAAACAGAATCTGCTGTAATTTTAGACAACAGATACATTTCAGTAACAAAACTGATGAATGCACTGATGTAGGGAGTGTAATCTCATGTATAAGCGAGACAATGGTGTGCCTGTGTTCAATGAGGACATCTTTTAAATATGCTTCAGTGTGTGTATTTCTTCGCAGGCGCTCGGCTCCAACTGGTCGACAAGTGTCTGAGTATGTGCGAAAGAAGAAAAAAATAAATAAATAAGTGTCTGCCTTGGTGAGAAATTGTTAATTTTTGCAAGATGTGACAGGAGAGTCTACCTGAGATCGACTGCTGAGCATCTCGTTTGCGAGTCGCAGCTTATTTTGTTTCTGTGTATCCGCGACCGTGTGGATGTGTGCCGTCTGTTTTATTAATGTTGTGAAGCCGAGTTCACAGAGCTCAGCGGGATACTGTTGATTTGGTTCTGTAGGGGGGGGAGGGACTGCTGCCGTGGAAAATTATGCGCATACTTACGTCTGTGTCATTCGGCTGAGAAGAAGCAAAGAAGAGATGGAAGGAGAGCGTGAGGGGAAAGAAAATGACATTAGATCAGTTAATGATGCTGTAAATCAAAGCAGTAAATAGACTGTCAATGCTTCTGTTTACTGTTGAAAGAAATAAATTGGTTGTCGCACGTCCTGCCTAAAACAACCTTAATATTCACTGTTTGACAATAAATTAACTTAAATTTCTTGCTTTAGGTCAGACAGGGCTACCAATATAATGAGACTGTATTCTAGTTTACATAAGGTTGTTATACCTGATAATGCCAAGACGTTGTAGACTTTGTGTAACATCATGGAAAATACAAAAATGTATTTTGTTTAACCCTCTCAAGGCTGTGATTATTCCTGTTGCTGATGTACCTTTTCCTGACACACTTTTTCCTTCCACTCAACTTTCTATGCTTTCATATGATCAATGAGTTTCTTTATTAATGACCTTTTGCGTACAATAAATATGCTTGAAAGATTTCACTCTACACACAGCCTTCTGGAGTGAAGAAAATATGTTTAGCTTTTTCACGATATTTAATCTTTTCAGCGGTACCTGTAGTTAATAATGGTCGCTATGAACGTCTGCGTAGCACAACATGAAATCATTGAATGTTGTTATTAAGTCACTGATGGGATTTTCACCTATCAGCTGTTTTTATTTTGCAACAGTATTAAACATGGGCTGTTTACATGACATTTTAGTAATTTAGTCCTCAATGTCACATTAATATACAGCATGTTGGGTTCAAACTGTTCATAAATTGTATGAAATCAATCGGAAGGCATTATGGAAGTGTGATTTTCATTTTACAGTATTATGTAAAAAAAAAAAAAAAAGTTTCTTTTTGATGTTTTCCAAAATCATCAACATGTCAGGAATAAATGTTCTAATAAAAGGTTGGTTTCTAAAAAATATTACTTTTACATGTTTTGACAATACTGGAGATGTTCATAAAAATTTAAATCAACATAACTACAAAGAATGACTCAAAGTGGTCTATGTCCCTGTAGTATCATAATAATTATAAAAAAAGCTAAATCATAGCTTAAAACTTTTCTTTCAAGAGGGAAGTTTGTTCTTTTTCCTCATTATTGATCTGCTCATATGTCAAAAAAGCACTAAATGGTCACATCTCATGTCTTGAGCTCAATGTATGGGTTGGCGGCTATAGACAGTACATCTTTGGAATCATGGTCAGGTTAAACAGAGCATGTCGAACTGTGAATGAAACAATTTATCATCCTTTTCAGTCCTATTACAGCCACGTGTCAGTCTCTCTCTCTCGGCCTCCCATCGCTGCCTCCTGGGATGGGGGACAATTCAGTGGACTGAGAGGACTGGCGGCGTGTCCCCCGCTACAACACAGGCACATGGTGAGGCTTGATAGGAGACTAAATTAAAAGGAAAATGGACTGTCTCATCCAATTAATTAAAGGGGAATTAAAGGATCAGTGTAAACACACTCGGTTCCAGTTTTAGTTCTATGTGTCAATATTCACAGTGTAATGTTATGGAGAATTTCAAAGTGGCTTTTGATTGTGACGAGCATAAAGTTTGTTAATGTATTGGAAATAATAATAATATGCAGGAAAACGTAATGACTCAAACATAATCGACATTCTGTCCTAAATTTTCAGATTTACTAGTAGATGTCCAAGCCTGCACTGGTCACAAACACAAAGACGAGTTTTTGCAAATAATAACATCCTTGCAATGTTTGATCAAATGATGGCATATTGCGTGTTTTATTGATATGTACTTAATGATTATGTGCTATTTTTTATTATGTGACAAAGCAAAATATGTTACATTTTGTTTTAATATTAAAAAAGTTGAATATTTGAGAAGATGGGAATACTCTTGTTTCTGTCTGATAATGGCTATAAATTGGGACTAACCAACATTTGCCAGTAGCGTAATCCCCGATGGAGCAAGAGCAACATCACTGCGCTCACCTATGCGTTTACACACATGGACACTGGTCTAACAAGCACTGCAGTGAGTGTACAAGCCATTCGAAGTACATGACAAGATAAGATGATTACATAAGCTGGCTTAGGGAGGATGAGAGGATGGGAGAGAGGAAAAGGGTGAAAGTGAATATATGAAGGGAACTGACTAAATGAGGAAAACTGGAAAATGGGAAAGAAAAGGGGAAAAAACTATGAAGAATTGTGATGTGTTCTTTAATCACACAAACTGAGTAAAAAATAAGAATACTACATTACATCACAAAGTGTGTGAAGATGGACGTAATAGATACTTTGGCACAGATGGTAGAGCATATGCTCACTGTTAATCTGACACATATTAACACGAACAGACACACATCCCTAACACACACCAATGTATGCAAACAGAAACACGCGTTACCCTGACACACAAACATAAAACATACCCACACACAGAGCCTCGCTGCAGGAGCTATCCATCACCTAATGGCCAGCCAGAAGCTCTAAATGGCCTTTTAACTGCTGTCATTTACAGCCATGGGAGCAGAGGAGAGGGAGCGAACCATCAAACACCTGCTACCGCAAAAAGCGTCACGGCAAATTAGGTAAGTTCTCCCGGTTCTCCTGGAGGTGTGGAAGGTTACTCGCCTCTTTCACTTACGGCTATTTCTGCAACTACCAGCAGAGCGTGAATCGCACTAAACAGTTTCCATGATGGAATGTAATCTGCACATATGCTCTAATAGCTGCGGTAAGCACTTATTTATCCGTGAAAGCAGTGAGATGAAGCACGACATTAAGCTAAACTAGATCTACATGTTTTAATGATCAACTAATGAGGTAGAAATAACTGTTTTAATGAACTAGTACATAACTTGATTGGATATTTTAGTAAGTAAAAATAATAATGGATTTATATATCATAGATTTAGTGGACTTTTTAGAGGAAATTTTAGAGGAAACAATAATCAACATCTGGAACTTCTTGGGGACTAAATAACATGTTAATTCTCATATTAAATATAAATGCATTCATTTCTTCACACATTTTTTTTTAACCATAATTAACCGATAGGATTTATTTTTTCCAATTGCTCTAGCCATAGTCTGGCCTGACTTGTAGAATCACTTTACCTCTATTTGACAATTTCAAATAGAGTCAGCCTCAAAGTAGTGTTTATTATTTGAGGCAGCAAAATAGGGGGCTGGAATTTAACTATGTTTGTATTGCACAAACACGCTTCAATAAAAGCAATTAACGTTATAATAAAAAGTTGTCATTAAAGCCAGGACAATAAACTCTACCTTCAATATTCTACGAGGGGGAAAAACTAATTTACCACTGGAAAAAAAACAATAAAGTTAACATTTAAAGGTTTAATTTGACAGGTCTAGAAATTGCTTTGTTCCTTTGAAATACTGATAGTCATTCTTTCAAACTGGTCTGGTTAAGTTCAGTTTAAAAAGTCTGTACTTAATATGATGTTTGAACAAAGAGTGGCGCTGCTGTTTCAAAGTAAAATTAATAAACAGAAATCTTTCTTCAGCTGGTTTATGGAGATGTAGGGGAAGGCAATGAAAACTGCATCAAACCTGACAAGAACTTCTTGCAAAATTTTGTATTTCCAAAAACGGCTCCTAAAAGCTTAATAATCCGCACTAGTATAAACCCTCCAAAATATAAGTTTTTGAGAAAATAAAACAAAAAAACAAACAACTATAGAGATTCAAATCTACTGTTGTGAATAAACAAGTTATACTTTATGGCAAGTCATTTTGATATTGAATAATAATTATTAAAAAAGTACAAAGAAATTCCTGTAATATCATTAAAATACCTTTTAAAACTCACTAGAATAAACAAACGCAACTAGTTTTCACTACAATAAATGTATGTAAAGGACATAAAATATACTAGTTCTGTGCTTTGTAATTGCTAAAATATCTGAAAAGAAGAAACAATGAGTATGTCTAAACTTTAAATAATCAGGTAAATCTAAAATATGACTAACAGGAAAGGTGGATTAGTTGAAGGCCATAGCATAAAACACAATATCCGATCTGATTGGTGCCACGTCCAAAATATTACTGACAGTGTTCCATCTGAACGGTCCTACCTGTGCAGCGATGGTCCTAAATTTGGATTCAAGCACCTCCAGAGTCATCTGAACCCCAACAGCTGTTGAGATACAAAGAAAAAAAAGACATCAAAATTAACACAGATCAGTTTTGCATGATTACAGAAGCAAATCTTCCCAAATAGACATTAACATAGGGCATAGGCAGTGGCAGCCTTAATTATTAATAAAGGTTATATATATATATATATATATATATTATATATTATATATATATATATATATATATATATATATATATATATATATATATATATATATATATATAGCAGAAACCACAACCAATGTGATATATTATTGACTATCAAGAGAAAAACTCATTAAAAAAAATATTATTTCTGGTTAATTACGTTTAAAGACACAAGGTGAAATCTCTTTCTTATTTAACAAACTATGAGACGGTCAACGAAGAGCTTCAAGTTTTATTTTCTGTTCAGTCAGAAGGATTAGCACAGCTCTGTGTGTCTGGCCGTCTTCACCTGGCTCACCGAGTGTTCAAGTAAAACTGGCAGTCATATTTTATATATATATATATATTATATATATATATATATATTATATATATATATATATATATATATATATATATATATATATATATATATATATATATATATCTGCCAGTAATCAGATACCCTGCTGGAATAATTAGCTGGCCAAAGGAGGAGATAAAAGCCACAGATATTAAGACTAGAAAGCTACTAACCATGCATGGAGGGTTCCATCCCAAATCCAGCACCCTGAGACTGTACACGAGCCGCAAGGAAGGAGGCAGAGGACATCAGGGACAAAGCCTCAACAGACAATGTGCTCAGTGAATGTCTCAGACAACAGGGAACGGAGGTTGAGGTGCCAGAGATACCATCATGGGAGGACAGCCCCTACATGGGATGTACCACCAGCAAATAACCCAAGTAGCTGATATCAGTAAATCCTACCAATGGCTGGAAAAAGCTGGACTCAAGGACAGCACAGAGGCCCTCATCCTGGCCGCCCAGGAACAGGCCCTAAACACCAGAGCAATAGAGGCCCAGATCTACCACACCAGACAAGACCCAAGGTGTAGGTTGTGCAAGGAGGCCCCTGAGACAGTCCAGCACATCACAGCAGGGTGCAAGATACTGGCAGGAAACGCGTACATGGAGCGACATAACCAAGTGGCAGGCATAGTGTACAGAAACATCTGTGCAGAATATGGACTGGAAGCCCCGAGATCAAAGTGGGAAACACCCCCAAAGGTGGTGGAGATCGCCAGAGCTAAGATCCTGTGGGACTTCAGATCCAGACAGACAAAATGGTAATGGCGAACCAACCAGACATTGTCGTAGTGGATAAACATCAGAGGAAAGCCGTTGTGGTAGATGTAGCAATACCAAGTGATTGCAACATCAGGAAAAAGGAGCACGAGAAACTATAGAAATACCAGGACCAGGAAGAACTGGAGAGGGCCTGGAAGGTGAAGACCACAGTGGTGCCTGTGGTCATCGGGGCCCTCGGGGCAGTAACCCCCAAACTGGAGCAGTGGCTACAACAGATCCCAGGAACAACATCAGACATCTCAGTCCAGAAATGTGCAGTCCTTGGCACAGCCAAGATACTGCGCAGAACCCTCAAGCTCCCAGGCCTCTGGTAGAGGACCCGAGCTCAGAGGATAAGAACCACCCGTGGCGGGTGAGAAGGGAATTTTTTATATATATATATATATATATATATATATATATATATATATATATATTATATATATATATATATATATATATATATATATATATATATATACACACACACACACACACAGAGTAATCTGTGTGACAAAGTCTAAGACTAATGAGGAAATTGATATATTAATAAATGTAAGAAGGATTTTGTACATTTATGGTTTGTATTTCAGAAAACAGAATAATGCTTAAAAGACTCAAGCCTTTACATACCCAGACCCTAAAAAAGATAAAAATATATTCAATATGTAGCGTTAGGTTAAATAATACCTGCTATTACTCGGCAAGCAGAAAAAGCAAATTAAAGTTTTTAGTCAGGCACTTGAGAAAGAGAACATTAACAGCATTTTTAATGCCCCAGCTCTTAGTAGAAGATGTCTTTTAGTGGAGATCAGCCCTGAAGTCAGAACTCAACTTATGAAAATCCTTTTTACAGTCACTGGCCTTCAGAGCCTCCACAACGCTGCTAAAAAATAAATAAATAAAAATCCTATTCTTAGCCAGAATGTGTTTGAGTGCATGTGTATATCCAACGCCTCCACTACGCAGCCCTCTCAGTCATAAAATGCGGAGAATTAGTGTCCGTGTGAACATGTCCCACGCACGCGCAGGAATATACACACAAGGGCGAAGCGATTGCTTATGTCAGCTTAGGGTTGTATGTCTGTCAGCATTTCAGTCAACCTGGTCATAAGGAAAAGAAAAAAAAGAAGAAGAAGAAGACGTAATTGCATAAGTTCCCAGTACACACATATTGTATATACCACCCACGCACATACGCAGGCAAATACACATTACGCTGCGTGAAAAGATATGACTCTTCGTATTAGCATCAGAGACTCAGCGTTTTCTTCCCAGTGTGCCCTGGGTAGCCAGTTAAAAGCCTCTCTGCTGATTACAATACACAAAGCTCACATCTACCTCCCCTTACAGACATACACTGTCAAAAATTTACAGTACACATCCCATAAGCTTAGTAACACCGATTCAACACTTTTAGGACATTGAGGTATATACAGTAATCTGCAAAATCCCTTTTGAGAGCATCATTTAACCTAATGCGTGCATTGCTTTGGAGACATTTTAAACCATCTCTAATGGTTTAAAATGCTTACAAGAAGGTTTTTTAATCATCAGACTTCTTCAGACTTTCTCAGTTTTTGGCATCTTCTGCCCCTTGCGAAACCATTCACATCTCCTGAACTTTCGCACATGTTGTCATGTTACGATCACGAACTTCAATGTCTCTATAGTTTTGTATATCTGGAGACAAAAACTGTCCTTGTCTGGTGCAACGTAGAAATGACGACATGAGTAGCATATTGCAAACATAAACTGAAGGGAGACTAATGGCTTTCTTAGAAGAAAAAATACTAAGAGGTTGTTAATGTATGGAAACATCTCTAAAGTACAATTTGTTAAAAGACGAACATGCATAAAAAGAGGCACCAAAGGCTTTTTCCTTTTGTGCTTTCTCTTGCAGCATTAGTACAACCTTTCAAAACCAAACCCTTTTTCAGGCATTACTCACAATTCTTTTATAGCCACCAAGCATTTAAATTAAAAGCTGTAGGAGGCAAATTTGCCCTGAAAACATCATTTTAAATTAATTTTTTTAATGCCACTAGGTGATGGGTTTTAGACCTGTTATAGCACAACCACATGCAGATCTCATTTTAGAAATGAGGCAACAGGTTCTATCGTAAGATGTGCAGTTTGGCTCGATTTTTCCTGCTTTCTCCCCTCTGTGTCATCCTTTTCTTCAATCTTTTGAAAATCACAGCTGTAATCCGTCTACAGTCAGTCATGAACAGGAAACGGTGTTTGATTGGAGGGTTGTTTTGTCTGAGGTTGTTCATCTTTTCCTGAAGGGTTAGAAGCAAAAGATTCACATTTGATCTGTTGTTTTTGTCACCACTGCAAAAAAAAAAAAAAAAAATGAACGAGTAAGATTTTTTTTTTGTGAATCCGTCCTACTCCATAGTGACGATGACCCTGATGTCATCCCCCTCCACTGTAAACTCAGATTAATTGTTCAAAAAGCCATTAAAGAGGGCAGCAGTAATCTGCCGTCTTTTCTCCTTTGAGTTAGAGGCTGATAGGTCAAATCTAATTAAAGCCAACGCTCTGATCACCTAGCATGGGTGTGTGCGCTCTGCATTACTTAAAGCTCTTTCTGGTAAATATAAATGTGTGCTGTTAAATGTGCCAACATTGCTTTCAGGTTAGTCTTTCCCTTGAGAGAGAAAATGTGTATACTTTCACTCTGAGGCACAATTAGCAAAAGCTTCCAATCACAACTGAGAGTGTTTTTAATAGAAAATGAGCTAAGAAAAAAATAAATACAAACCTTTGGAGACCAGAGCTGGAGTTAATTGGCTATTTTACTAGTGAGTTAGAAATAGGAGAAACAAAGAACTGAATTAATGCCTCACTTTTCACTGCAACTCAAGGATTTATTGTCCATTTAGCTGCATCATCTTTTACAATATAACCACTCTGTAGCCTAGAGTTGGGAAGAGATGGACGCCTTTTCCTCCACACAGTAAATCACATTATATAATTAATAATCGTAAAATTGATCCATTGCGTTACGGCCAAAATTCTCGTCATTAGACTGACTCACCATTGTAACTGTAAACCAACCCAACTCTGTTATGCACAAAACAAAGTTGGGTATTTTTAGAAGGCACTAGAAGAATGAAGAATGGAGCAAGAAATACGAAGCTTGTTTTAATCTGCAGCTGGCATTTCATCCTACACACTGATCCTCTGACATTAACCCAATGTCCACATTCAGGGGAACCGTGCAGCGTGGAAGCCAAAAACGAGTGCTTTTTCATTTTCACACGTCGTTTCACTTCATTAAACATGTTTGTGTGTGTATATGTGTGGTGCTGAGGTTGCACAGAAGGTCAATTTGTGTCAAATGAGTACAGAGCGGGTGTTGTTGTATAGCCCTGAATACAGATTAAATTAATAGAAACACACAATAGGAGCCAATAAACACAAACAGAGGCACAGAAAATAAACACACCGAGGTGGAGGTCAGTGCATTCACATATCCCACACACTATAAACAGGAGTGTATTTAGGGTAGATGTGTGAGGTTGACAGTGTGACTCCTACTCTTTGAGCTTGAACACATTTTTTAACTTTACATCAACAAATGCCAATATATTTTGTTGGGGGAGCGCATATTACCCCAAGAAGAAAGAAAGAAATGAGCTATAGGAGTAAATGTTAGAAATGAAAGGCGAGGAGACCGATGTCTGATAGGTAAGATGACTTTCGCTTAAATGAGATGACCTCATTTACTTTGA